TAAGAAAAAGAAACAAACAAAAACGACGCATAAATGCAAAAAAGTATTTTTCATCTTCTTCAGACGAAGAAAATAAAGAAAATCGACATATCAAAAAGAAGAAACAACTACCTCCTTTTCCACAATTACAAGATTATATATCAAGTAAGCCTATAATGAGCGAAGTTATAAAAAATATTAACACATCACATGAAGGAACTTCTATTGATAAAACGTATAATAGGAGCAGTAAGTAAAAATAACTTATTTACTATTCATAAATAATCAGTACTAACATTTCTACTCTTTTTCTTTATCTTTTTCTTTTTTTTATACAGGTGTTTCCAGACAATGCATTCCAAGCAGTTCAATATATGCTGAAAACACTGTTATTGAAGATACTTCTAATGAAGAAACTACTAATAAAAGATATAATAGCAGTAAGTAGAAACAATCTATTTACTATTCATAAATAATCTGTACTAACATTTGTACTCTTTTTCTTTCTTTTTTTTTTATACAGGTGTTTCCAGACAATGCATTCCAAGCAGTTCAATATATGCTNAAAAAACTGTTATTGATGCTGATATGAATAAAGAAAATGTTTTTGATGGTACGTATATTAATCTTAAAAATGCGTTCTGTTTCATGCATATACGCATATTTATCTATAGTACACGTTACGTATACTATAGATTATATGCGCATATGCATGAAACGCACTTCTAATGCTTTTTTCTTGTTAATATAAAAGCGTATATGTAGACAAATATGTATTTTATTTATTTAATATTTATTTCAAAGCGCGCGTATATTCACACACATACGCATACAAACGCATACAATACTACAGTCACATAATTGTTACAGAATTTAAAAAGCTCATTTTATTTAAATTAAATAAACTATTATATAAAATGGACATATTGCAAAATAAAATTAATTTGCTTGAAGACAAAATATCACATCCAATAAACATAAACGAAGAATTAGATATTCAATTACCAATATTATCACTGGAGGAATTACAATTATTTGAGGAGCAATTAGAAGAAGAAAGATTTAGAAATCAAATGGTATTACATATTTAATAGCTGCTATTTTTTTTACGAGTAGCATTAGTATATACTCAGACAGATATATGTGTGTGTCTCTAAAATCTAATATTATTTATACACTGTATTTTTTTAGCTTCATATTTTAAAGCTGGTTGGTGGAAGCAATCCATATATATAATGATACGCAACATGTTAAAAAAAGTATTCACAAATACTTTAGCTCTACAATTCAGCTGGGCTGGTAAAAAAGCTAAGCGCACTTTCAAAGACTTGAAACTTGCAAATATAATAATACGTAAGTTTTTATGATTTTATTTTAAAATTGATTNTAACTATATATAATGTAACACTTGTGGAGATTTTCCTTATATATTTTCTTGGCATCAGCATAATCGCAACACTTTTCCATGTTATTATTTTTAATCAATATATATATTTTAGAATTAATATTTTCAATTAACTCTATCATATACTTTTGCATTATAGAGGCTGTTCGTACAATATATACGCAGGCAAACGA